CGTTCATGAACCCTGGAGAAGGCCTCTTGCGCTGTCTTCGGACGGCTTTGCAGGCATCTGGCGCCGCTTTCGAGCCATCTGAGGGCATCTTGGACTCCTCTACCTCCATTGTCTTCGTCGTCGCTGCCTACAGGGTCGGCGGCATCGGCCGCAAGGCTTTCGCACTACGAGTTTGGCGAAAAACTGTGCGCTTAGCATCTCTAGGCCGTCTTGGGCGTCCTTTTGAAGCCCTTGTGGGCCACTTCAGGCCCTCGCGTGCAGTTCTGGGACCCTTTTGAAGCGTCTTGGAAGGCATTGGCTGTCTTGGGGCCTTGTTGGGGCCCTCTTGGGGGGGCTCTGTATTAGGCCCTCTTGGAGCCCTCTTGACGCCGTTTGAAAGCGTCTGGGCCCTTTGGGGCCGTCTTTGGGCCGCCTTGGGGCGCCCTTGGGCTTTTGGGAGTCTCTTGGGCCGTCCCGGGTCCCTCTTTGGGAACCGCTTGGGCCGTATTGGTCCACTGTCTGGGACCTCGTGGGCTGTCTTGGCCTGTCGGAAGCATGACAAGTACAGAACACGGCAAACCTCAACAAACCTTAGAAACACATGTGTTGTTCAACTCCTGAGGGTCTCGTGGGACTCTTTTGAAAGCCTCTTGGCCGTCTTCAGGCCATCTTGGGCTGTATTGAAGCCATTTTGTGCTGACTTGGAACGTTATTGGGAATCTTGAGCTCTCTTGGAGCGTTTTGGGGCCGTCTCGGAACTCTCTTGGACGTCTCTTGGGCTCTCTCGTCGCCCCTCTTCGCCTCCTTCAACGCGTTGCGCCGCTCCACGACAAGTAAAAACACGGCCGGGTACAAAATCAGTGCTTCTCAATTCCACTGGGACCGCCCATTATCTAGTTTATATATGCATGTATGTATATGTGTACGTAGGTGTGCAATTGCAAAGCGTATCCATGCACGCGGCGCGCAACATGGCGATTACGACGGAACTCATTGCTCCCGTCGTCACAATGTGAACATGGGATGCTGCGCTCATGGCCATGATTCGGTCCTACTTCATCATCGATCTGCCGTGCAACCTTGAACCTGCTGGTACTGAATACATGGTGACAATATTTTCCGATGGCCGCGATGAGCAGTAGATGGACATAAGATTTGCCGCAACGCACCTCACAACCCTAACTAAGCCAGAACTGCCAAAGAGCCTCGCAGACAGGGAAGCGACACGCATCTCCTACGAAGCACGAAGCATGTACCACATCACCTCCCTGTGCTTCACTCAAGGGCTCCGATCAAGGTCAGTCTCGCTCCAGCGCTTGGAACATTACTTGCAGCGGCTGCGCCGAAACGACAGATGGCATAGAGGAACAACAGACGGCATGAACATAAACTTTTGACAAACCGCGCGGGTTTCTCGGATCTGCGCTGGGACTCCCCTCCCAGGCGCGCGGGGCGCGCGACGGGCCGGGCCGGAGGCGCCGCCAGGGAGGCGCAGATCCCAGAAATCCGCGCGGACCGCCAACAGTTTTTTATGCTCATGGCGTTTTTTGTTCTTCGATGGAAGGAAAGTGTGAAATCGTGGCCGGGGGCAGGGGCTTGCGGTGCGGTGAAACTGCCGCCTGCGATGCCGCAGGAGAGCCTTCCTGAACTACACGCCCGAGCATGCCGCACCCCAAACACTACTGCCAGAACGACGGAGAGAGCGTCGGCGTGCCCTCGGGCCGCGCGCCTGCGCCTGCAGGCCCGAGATGGAGGAGACGATCTGCGCTCGGCGTAAGACGAAGCCAGGACGAAGATGAATTCGGGTGAGGATAACTCGAGGATCTCGAAGATCCGGCTCTGCAAGCTGTAGCAGGCGCCGCGACCATCTCAGAGCGTTCTGGAACGCTCTGAGAGTGTTCCGGAACGCTCTGGAACGGATTTACCCTCGTCCTAGCCGCGTCCCACAGCGCTCGCACCTGTCAGGCCTTGTCGCGGAAAGGATTCGTGCTGCAGGCCACGGACATCTCGTGGGAGCCCTTGCAGATCTTGCACTCGAACACGACCCGCTCCACGCGGACGACCTCCTCGCTGCGCGCGTCGCGGAGCCTGGCCTTGGCCTCCGAGAGGCCCCGGATGCGGCCCAGCGCACCCTTCCCGAACAGGTGCGCCTCCAGCGGCGACTCCGTCGCGTTCGTCTGGCCCTTCATCTCCGCGACCTTCCTGCATGCAGAAGGGCACCTCTACGCCACCACCGCCCCCGGCCAGGGCCGACCTGCGCCCCGGCATGGAGCCCGGAGGGTCTCCGCACACCATCCTTGGGGCCAGAATGGCCCTGGCCGGGCAAGATGCAGCGGACGAAGAGAGGTATGAGATGAAACTGTCCGCCATCGGAGACGCCCGTCCCGGGGCGGCTGAGGAGTTCATACCATACCCCTACGGCGGCAGGTGGCGGTGCAAACTTTCCAGCCGCCCCAGGACAAGCGTCTTCGGACGAGGAGAAGTGAGGAACAAAAAGAAGTGAGGAACAAAAAAACGACATCGACCATCACCTATTGGAGGTGCGCGCTGATTCTCCTCGATCGGCTCCAGACCCCCTCCCTGGCGTGCTCCGCGCGCCAGGGGCGGCGCCGCAGGCGCAACCAGGGGGGGCTAGCGCTGATCCCAAGACATCCGTGCGGAGCTTTCAGGCTAACACTTGTGCCTCTTCTTCGATGTATGCTTAAGTCGGGCCTGTCCCCCTACGGCGGGATTGTGGATGATATATATATATATATATAACTCAAAAAATGCTCCAACATACCTACAACATCATCAAAACATGGCCCCCAGACTATTTTGGGGGACTATGCTTTGGATGTTGTTTTGCTAGTTTCGACTATTCTTTGACTATTCCTTGACTATCAAAACGGCCCCCTGACTATTTCTAATACTATTTTGGAACATTCCCCCTGCTGAGGGACAGGCCCGACCTACCTGTGTGCCGCACCGCTCTGCGCCCGCCGAGGGGTGATGGCGCACGGCTGCCCCCGTCGGACTCCTGGACGTGGACTCGACCGCCCTGGACATCGTCGGGGAGCTGGCCTGCTTGGGCGACCGACACGGGTACGGAGCAAACCCAGACCCCCTCGGGCCCTGAGAAAATCACGACGGGAGGTGTTTCGCCATTTTCGGCCTTTGGGGGCCCTCGCCGGGCCTCGGGACCGTCAACAAAACGACTCAGGATGAAAAACCGGTCCCGGGGAACGGGTCCGGGCCTCTGAGAGTCGCGTCATGAAAAAATCATGACGTCGGGGGTCTGGGAATGGGTACGATGCCCAACAACGAGGGTTGTCCAAAACCGACCGCTGCTGCTGTTGGGCAGGTAGGCTTGTGCTCACATGGAGAACGACCGCGGCGACGCCGACAGCGACTCCTGGTCAGAATGCGCAGGAAATGCTGCTGGTTGTTGCACTCATTGCGGAACCAAGAGGTGCCCTCACAACTTCTTCTGGGGTGCGTTCTGACCAGAATTTCGATGCGAATGCAGCGGTGGCGACAGGGGCCTCCCAGGAGGTCCAAACAGGCGAAAACGAAGCAAGGGTAGCAGCATTCGGCGGCGAGCCCGGGGGGGCAGTGAGAAGGGGCGGGCCTTCTCAGAAGGCTCGGAAGTCCCCCGGCCTTTTGAACAATTTTCTGGGCCTTCCCCGAGGGCACCGGAAGCTTCCTAAAGGCCCCAGGGCTTCCGAGAAGCCTGCCTTCTGAGAAGGCCTTCTCTTTCCCACTCCCCCCCCCTCGGTCGCCGCCGAGGTAGGAGTAATTACCTTTTTCCTCCTTTGGACCCATGGTTTATGTTGCTCCCATCGTACTTGAAGATCACATCACAGAAATAATTTCGAGCACCGGAAAAAGTGCCGAAAAATTGTCGAAAGAGTGTCGGAATAGTGTCGGACGAGTGTCTCCCAGGGCCCGACACGGGGAAACCCTATGGAGTTTCGTTTTTGTTTTCTCTGGTGCTCGAACTTCTTCCTGGCGATCGAGGCTGAAATCGGCTGGAACATCATAGCCCGTGGCCTCCGTACCCATCGAGCCTGGAAGCCGCCGTCTGGACTGGCCGCGGCCGGCCCGCCCGCCGGGTCCGCGGGCGCCGGGTGCTGCCGCCCCTGCGGGGGCGCGCCCGCGAGCGAGGGGGTGCTGGCGCTGGCCCCGAGAGCGGCCGCCCCGGCGCCGCGCAGGGTCGGCTGCGACCTGCAGAGGCCTCCCGGCCGGGGTCGGAGCAGCCGGGGCCCGGAGGAGCGCCGATGCCACGGCGAGGCGTCGGCAGCGCATCCCCTGACGTGCGACGTGCGGCTGTCTTCCGGACGGCGCCCCCGCAAGTCCCGACCCCTTCCCTGGGACCGGTGCTTCGTCCTGAATCGTTCTTGTGGACAGTCCTGAGGCCCGGCGAGGGCCCCCCGGGGCCAAAAATGGCCAAAAACCTGCTGTCCTGATATTTTTACGACCCGATCATGTCTGGGTCGGCGATGCATCGGCGCCGTCGGCATGGGGAACTTCGGGCTCCGCATCGAGCCGCATCGCCGATGCATCGGCGATGCGGCACGATCCTCCCACCCCACCTGCTCGGGCCACCCTCTTTGGGAGGCCATCGGACCTGGAGGCCTCCATGCCGCCCTTCGGGCCCCTCGCCCAGCTGCCGAGGGTGTCCTCAGGGGGACAAGAGCCCAGACCACCTCGAATCATGAAAACACGCGACGGAAAGCCTTTCAATATTTTCGGCCTCTGGGGACCCTTGCCGGGCCTCGGGACCGTCAACAAAACGACTCAGGATGAAAAACCGGTCCCGGGGAATGCGTCGAGACATCTGGGGTCGACGGTGAAAAATCATGAAGTCGGGGTCTGGGAATCGAGCGCGTGAAAAAGTTATCGGCACAGACTGGATCTCGTGTTCATGGGGGGAGAACAATTCAAAGAACACGAGCTCAATGACTGGTCTGTGATGATTAGTTTTGCGCACCGATCAAACTCCGTGAGATCGAGAAATGGCCGTACATGAGATCGCAAAAACAGGCCATCAATAAACCGGGCTGCGAGATGGGAAACATGGGACAGCCCGAAACATAGCGACTTGTTTTAAACTGACTGGCTAGCCCGTCAATGGCACAAAAAAACACTGATACAATTAATTACTCCCCAGACCTCTCTCCGGGTGCGTTCTAGGAGGCCTCCTATGGGAGGCCCAGACTGGCAAAAACGAGGCAAGGGCAGCGGTATCGGTACATGTTCCTCCCCTGAGTCCTGGTGGCCATCGACCCAGTTGCGCTGGCGCTGTCGCCAGCCGAAGCTGGCGGCCGCGGCCTCGTGATGGGGCAAGGTCAGGGGGGGGAGACCGGCTCAATGGCGGGGGGGGGACATCGAGCGTGAATCGTCGACGCAAGCAGCTGCGAGTACCGCGAAGGATACGAGACGGAGGAGGGGGGGCCGCGGAGGCCCAAGGCCCGTACCCGTTGGTGAAAGAAACGTGCCTCTTCGGCGAAGCGGTCCACGCTGGAGGCGCTCTTCCAGTCGTCCACCACCGTGCCCGCTGGCACGTTGGGGCGTGCTGGAATGCAAGGCGCTGCCTGGTAGGGTGTCGGTTGGGTTCTGAACCCACTTCGGGCCGCGCTCAGCCGCGTGCACCGCCCCCCTCTTCCTGAGGCCACAATCCCGCGCAAAATGCGACAGGCTCGCGCTCCCGAGGCCCAGATGCCACCAAAGACGGCCCAGCCTCGCTTCAAGAAGGGCCACGTTAGCCTCAAGCTCAAGACGACCCGAGGTGGCTTCAAGACGGCCCACGAAACGGACCCTGCCACTGGGGCCTTCGGCGGAGCTCTCCATACCGTGCGTGGGGACGCATGCGGACCCTGCCACTGGGGCCTTCGGCGGAGCTCCCTATGGGGCCACGAACCGTGTGAGGGGTGTGCCAAAATCGGCAGGGGGGACGCATGCGGACCCTGCCACTGGGGCCTTCGGTGGAGCTCCTCATACCGTGCGTGGGGTGTGACAAAATCGGTGGGGGGACGCATGCGGACCCCGCCACTGGGCTGTCGGTGGAGCTCCCTAATGGGCCACGAACCGTGTGAGGGGTGTGCCACAGCCGGCGGGAGGACGCATGCGGACCCTGCCACTGGGACTGGAGCTCCCGTGGGCCCGTGTGAAGGTATGTCAAAATTGGCGGGCGGAGAACAAAGTCACGACGCTGACGATGGCGATGTGAACGACGCCGATGATGGCGATGGTGATCACAGTGACGATTACGACAATGATGGTGAGGACGGCACGCGGAGAGGAGAGGCAGGGATGGGAAGAGGGAGGAGGGGGAGGCGGGCGGGAGGTGAGGTGAGGTGACGCGGGGCGCTGTCTCTTCACACCGACCGAGCACCAGAGGATGGTTGGGAATTGAGCCTCGATCGCCCCTGAGCATATCAAGCCCTGACTGTGGCCTCCTAGATCGTGTCCGAGTAGATGGGGTCGGATGATCGCGCCGCATCAAGGACGTCGGCGATCCATCGGCGCCGTCGGCATGGGAAAATCGGGGCTCCGCATCGAGCCGCATCGCCGATGCATCGGCGATGCGGCACGATCCTCCTACCCCGTCTACTCAGACGACATCAGGGAAACCTAGAGCCTATCCCCCCTTTTAACGTTGCCCCGGACCTTGGCGGCAGCGGGCGAGCCGTCGAACACGAAAACTCATGAAAACTAAACCCACGAGAACGACAACCCCTACGAAAACGCCCGAAAACCTCGAACCTCGAACCCCCCCCTGATAGGTGGCGACATCCGAACTCCCCCCCCCACAACCATCGATTCTCCCGAATCGATGGGAGGCGGGGCAAGGTTCGGATTTCGCCACGTGCTCGTCGAATTCCGAACCCTAACTACCCCCACCGCTCATCGAGTTGCCTGAATCGTTGGTCGGCGAGGCCAGGGTTCGGATTTCGCCGCCGACTTGAACCTCGCTCCCCCCCCTGAGCCCATCCAGCCCTCTCTCTCTCCACCCTGTGGACCCAGATTTGGACGCCCGAAATGGGTACGGAAAAAATGGGTACGATGCCCAACAGCAAATGTTGTCCAACATCGACAGCTTCCGCTGTCTGGCAGGCGAGCTTGACAGCTTCCACGGCGACGCCGACAACAAATCCTGATCAGAATGACCAGGAAATGCTGCTGGTCTGCGTGCCTGAGGGGCGACGATAGGGGGGACTGGCATAGGTGGGGGGGAAAACATCGACCTGGAATCGGCGATACCTCGCCGACAGATCGGCGATATGCCACATACAGTGAGTCCGCACGTTCCTGCGTGGGGGTGGGCTATCGGGCCCCGATCGGCGATGAGTGGACGTGAAGGTCGATACATCTCCCCCTATGCCTATCCCCCCCTGTCGTTGCCCCTGAGTGCCCATTCATTCCGTACCCAGACATGCGACGTCCTGATGTTTTCAGGACGGCGTCCCTGGAAGTCCCAATCCTTTCCCCGGGAGCGGTTTTTCGTCCTGAGTCGTTTTTTGACGAACCCGAGGCCCGGCGAGGACCCCCTGGGGCCGAAAATGGCCAACAACCTCCCGTCCTGCTTGTTTTGTCGACGCGATTCTTTTAGGGGGTCTGGTTTACGAAGGCGCCCCGTCGAAGAGGGGGGTCCGGAATACCAGGTCGCATTTGGAGGGGGGTCCAGTGTTTTAGGGCGGGGTCGATCCATGAGGGATTTGGACTACACATCCGACCAGCCATAACTGGGGAAGCTGTGGTCCTTACCCCCCCGGGGAACCCATCGCATTGACGATCTCTCGAGAGTGGAGCCGAAATGGATGGGTCCCCCGGGGGGGTAAGGACCACAGCTCCCCCAGTTGTGGCTGGCCTGACATCTCGATCGTACCGACCGGCGTTGCCCCGGACCTCGGCGGCCGCGGGCGAGCCGTCCAGCCCCGACCCGGCGTGCGGCGAGGCGTCGAGCGCCGGGAGCCTGTCGGCGGCCGTGGCCTGCGGGCTGCGGCCGGTGCCCGAGCCTGGGAGGACGCCAGCTGTACACCTACGTGTGGTGGGCCTGCTTTCCACCACCACCACCACCACCATGAGTTGGGGGGGCGAAGGAGGTGGAGGAGGAGGAGGAGGAGGAGGAGGAGGAGGAGGACGAAGAGGAGGAGGAGGAGGAGGAGGAGGAGGAGGAGGGGGATGAGGAGGAGGAAGAGGAGGAGGTGGAGGAGGAGGAGGAGGACGACGAAGAGGAGGAAGAGGAGGAGGAGGAGGAGGAGGAGGACCTTCTCCCCCTCCAACTTATGGTGGTGGTGGAAAACAGGCCCATCAACGTACACCAGTCCTGACTGGCCGGGCCCATCCTGTGGCCAGGACCAGTGTCGACGATCCAGGATAGGTCAGGGCTCCGCGCGCCCCCCATGTATGCTACTGGGATCGGCGCCCCCCCCGCTGGATGGGTACGCCAGTGAGCCTCGCGAATGGGATCACCCCCCTCCCTCCCGTGGTCGGGGCGCTGTGGGCGTGGCGTGGTGGTCGGTGCCAGTGCCCCCCCCCTCCCGCTGTGGGTGTTGGGTGGTTCGTCGTCGTCGCCGTCGCCGTCGTCGTCGTCGTCGTCGTCGTCGGTCGTCGGTCGTCGGTCGTCGGTCGCCGTCGGTCGTCGGTCGTCGTTCGTCGGTCGTCGGTCGTCGGTCGTCGGTCGTCGTCGGTCGTCGGTCGTCGGTCGTCGGTCGCCGTCGTCGGTCGCCGTCGCCGTCGCCGTCGTCGTCGGTCGTCGGTCGTCGGTCGTCGGTCGTTGGTCGCCGTCGTCGGTCGTCGTCGCCGTCGTCGTCGTCGTCGTCGTCGTCGTCGTCGTCGCCCCCTCCCCCATCCCATCGGGGGGGGGGGCACGTGGAGCCCTGGGACCCGTCCCATCTGGAGGGGTTGGCCCGTGAACCCTCGACCTGGGATCACCAGACACAGCGACCCTGGGCCAGGGCCCGGCCCGGCCGGGATCGGTGCGGGTGTGTGCTATTGGTGTTAAGTCGGGCCTGTCCCCCTACAGGGGGATTTTGGACCAAAAAATGAAAAGTACCCAAAGAATACCCCAACAAAAATCAAATATAGTCAAGACATCGTCACCGGACAAGTTTTTCCCTATTTTGGAATATTCCCCCTGTAGAGGGACAGGCCCGACTTCATAGTGGTGCCCTCCGATGAGCCCGGCTCCAAGTGCTGCGACGCCCCGGCGGCGGCGTCGCCGGGGTGCGGTCCCTGCGGTGGGAGGGCTTCAAGGTCTTCGGCTCCGAGGTTCGAGGCTCTCGGGCGGTCGGTCCTCGAAGGTGCTCGCGCCTCGGCGTGCTCTCCAGCGGCCGCGCCTCGCAAAGAGCGCTCCAGGGCAGCCCAGCTCGTCCCGAACGGCCGCCGGAGAGGCGAACTATGACCCGAAAGCCAAGGCTCAACGCCATGGATCGCTTGCCTTCAGGGACAGGGTCCCAAACCTCCGACAATATGATGCGGTCCATCACGCCGTATCTTATTGTCCTCGATTTCGGGCTCCAGGGCGCGTGATCGGGCCTCGGGACCATCAAAAATAGATCCGGGGCAAGGAACTACCCCTGGGGAAGGGGGTCGGGACCTCTGGGGCCGCGCATTGAAAAAACTCAGATGATGGGATTTCTGGGCCCTTTCGTGAAGGGCTTAGCGACTTCTGCTGCCCCTCGACTCGCGCTGGAGCTTGCACAATAATCTTCAGATGTACCTGGGTACCGCTGGAGTCACTTCGATGTATCGGAGGTTACGTCGCCTTATATCTGGACTTACCTCCATTTGTCTGGCTCGACCCCCGCATGTCGATTGGGCAAGGTTCGTGATTTCCTTCGGGATTCGGTGGCGAGCCCCGGAGGAAGTGAGGGGGCGGGCCCCTCTTAGCAGGCGGCGGGGCTTCTCGGAAGCCCTATAAGGCCTTCCAAGACGCCGCCTGCGGCTTCGGAGAAGGCTTGCCAAGCCTCTCAGAAGGCGCCAGAGCTTCTGGAAAGTCCCGCCGCCTTTCGATGAAAAAAACAACTCTCGAGACCGAGGGGTCGCCAAGAATCGCAACTGGAGCCATAGACCCCATCTTTCTGCATTATTTTTGAAGCCAGGTCGATCTGTTAGGGTCCCGGGGATCGCAACTAGGCGAAAACGCCTGTTGTGACGAAAAACATAACGCCAGTGGACGCCCGACATGGGTAAGCAAAAGAGTGGGTACAATGCCCAACAGCAGTTCTTGCTCATTTTGAACAGGACTCGCTGTCGGTGTCGCCGCGGCCTGTGTACATTTGAGACAGAGAGCCGCCTGCCCAAACCGCGGCCGCTGTTGGTTTGGGACAGCATTTTGTTGTTGGGCAGTGGACCCATTCTTTCCGTGCCCATGTCGGGCGTCCAAAGCCAGGATCCCCAGGCCCTCTAGCTTCCCCCCGGGGCTGGCCGCCGACCTGAGGGGTCCCTTCTCGGGAGGGTGCTTCAGACGAGGTTGCGGGCAAGACTTGCTTCCATATCCACTGCGTCTTGGAGTGTGGGGCTCCCTTCTCCAGAAACCAGAGGCGCAGTGGACATGGATGAGAACCTGGCCCCCAGAGATTTTTTGTTATGTATGTCCACTGACCTCGACCTTTTCGTTGCAAAATCCAAGGCGCAGTGGATATGGACGCAAATCTTGCCCTCAAATGATTGGCAATGAAAGGACCCCCAAACCTGTTGGAGCTGACCCCCGAGTTCAGAGACCCAGAACATTAGGGATAGGGGAGTCTCTCCAGCAGGTGTGCCAAACCAAGCCACTTAGGTATAAATCATCCCCGACGCAAATATGGGGACCTCGGCGAGGCCACGCCGTCACTGTGTTATGCAGGTCAGGGGCCCTCCTTGTGGTCGACGAGCAGAGGTCGCCCTCTCGTCGCCGCACCCGTGGGCCCCCCCCCCCCCGGGAGCGGGGGCACGCCGCGTGCCCCTCCGCGGCCCATGGGCCCTCGGAGGCCGCGCGTGCGGCGACCGCACCGCTCCTGGGCCCCCGAGGGGCGCCGGCCACGAGCACTCGGCGGCGCGCAAGGGCGGGGGGTCGGGGGGAGGGGGGAATGGCCTCTCAGGAGGCAGCCTCTTGGAAGGCGCGGCCCTACATCTGCAGAGGAGGCCCGCGCCCTCCAAGAGGCGGGGTGCTGCTGAGAAGCCTCCCCCCCCCCTCCCCCTGACCCCCTTCTGCGCGTGGCACGCCAGGAAGATGTATACACCGACGCCCTCCGACGAATGTTGCATGTACCTTCAGGGAGGGCGGCGGTGTATAAAGTCGCTGGCTCTCAGTGGTGATTTGAACACCGCCGCCCTCCCCTGAGGCCCAGGAACAGTCCATTGCAGGGTGTCTGTGTTGATGGGCCTGTTTTCCACCACCACCACCATAAGTTGGAAGGAGAGGGGGTCCTCCTCCTCCTCCTCCTCCTCCTCCTCCTCCTCCTCCATCTCCTCCTCCTCCACCTCCTCCTCCTCTTCTTCTTCGTCCCCCTCCTCGTCCTCCTCCTCCTTCCCCCTCCATCTTATGGTGGTGGTGGTGGTGGAAAACAGGCCCATCATGTGTACAAACATGCTGATGTAGCGGAGCGAACGGCGAGCATGTCCGGATCTTCGCCCTCACGGCCTGGACCCCGGGGAGCGATCCCGCGGCTGCGCAGTCGCACGGATACCTTCTCCGCGCGGGGCCCCCGCGACGCAGACGCCCCCCCACCCGCGGGGGAAGCTGCGGCCCGGTGGCCCGGCTGGCGAGGCCGCGGGCACAGACATGTGGCTTCCGCCCGCGAGGCGGGGCCGAGAGCGGAGGAACCGCACACCCGACACTCTCGGAGCTCCGCGGGGATTCCTCGGATCGGCGCATGGTCCCCCACCCCCCCCTGGCGGGGGGGGGCGCCTCCGGCGCCGCCCCTGAGGCGCTCCGCGCGCCAGGGAGCGGTGTCGAGCGCCGAGTCGCGCGGACCTCCGAGAAGTAGGTTTATGCCGTTATCTGTCGGGGATCTTCTGACCCGGGTCAATCCAGACCCGGGTCAGCCAGGCCCTGCAGAATCCTGCAAGGTCCTGCCAGATCTTGCACCCAAACCCGGCTCAATGCGAAGGATCCTGCAAGATCCCGCGGGATCCTGCACGCAAGCCCGGGTCAGTGCGACCCTGGCCTCTGCAAGCTCCTGCAAGATCGGACGCTCTAGCTGACCCCCGTTTGCATTGACCCCCGTCTCTTGAGCCCCGAGTTTGTTCCTCGGAAGATCAGCGAAGTGGCCGACGGGTGTGATCGTTTTGATCCGCGACCGAGGAGGCCGAAGCGAAGGAGCAGCCCAGGGGCCGAAAGGAACACTCCGACCCACATGCATCGGCCGACTCCGCGCCACTGCCGGCATGCAGCCTATTGAACGCCCGCGCCTGGGGCGGCCGCCATACCGAGGCGCGAGCCTGCGCTGAAGCCGAGGCACGACCACAAGAACGCGCGGCAATAACAGGGGTCCTTCGCCGAAAGGCTCCATTCAGGAGGGGAAACAACGCACAGACACAAGTCATGGTTGATTCCGAGAAAAGATGGGCAGACATGGGGAATCATGTTATTTGTGTCTATTTATTTGTGTCCCAGGGCCCCTTGATCCATGAAGACACTCCACACGAAGAGCATGCCAAGGTCAAAAGCCCAAACACGACGATCAAATGGTCCTCAGAGACTGCGTTAGCGCCAACATGTGGCTTCTTCACCCATGCCTTTCAATGCGACGCCGGCGGTGTAATAACAGGCGGACGCAAGCTGTCTGCTATCGGCGGAGCCGAGCACGGTAAACAGTCATTGGGCTAACACATGTCCTGAGGATCATCGAGAAGAGCATGAGGATACCACTCCAAAGCTAGGGTTGTGTTTATTGAGCAGGGGCCGACCGTCCCAGTATTCCTAGTCCTACCACGACATGTTCTTAGAACCCAAGCATGTTCTCATAACAAAAACTATGTTCTTGGAATATAAGCCCGATGTGAAAAAACAAGACGGTCCCAACCAGAAATGTTCCAGGCACATTTCGTGGGAACCACGAAACAGGCTCTTAGAACATTGTGTGGTAGAACTATAGGCACGCCAAGGCGCTTCGCCCCTGCTTGAGTTTGACCCTCGTGCCAGCTGTAGCTGGCGCCCCCCGGCTTTCTGGTGCGTGTCCACGTCGCCCCACTCCCCGCGCAGGGCGTGGCGGAACCTGACGGCCGTCTGCACCCGGAAGCGGTCCGCGTTCACCACCCCGGGCGCCTGCAGCGGCTGACTCCGGCCCTCGGGCCCCGCGCGGACCTGGGCTCGGGGAGAGGCTGGGACGAGGAGGGGGAGGAGGAAGAGCCTCCCTCCTCCCTCCTCCCACCCATTCCCTCCTCCCACCTCCCTCCCTCCTCCCTCATCCCTCCTCCCTCCTCCCACCCAGTCCCTCCTCCACCCCTCGATATAAATGTGTCTTCGAAACAAATGCTCCGTGTCGCACAGGCGTGCCCGTAGGCACGCCCAGGCGCTTCGCTTGAAGCTTCGGCACGATCTACGACCCCGAAACTGAAGAATCCCCACAGCTACACACGGATGGAGGCATGGTCCTTTCCGAAGTGGGGACCGACAGCAATCAGCGGGGGGGAGGGCGCGCGCGAAAGTCGCCGCTGCGGCCTGCGGTGAAGCTGCCCATTAGGCCACCAAGCGTGTGAAAGTGTGCCGAATGGGCTGGGGGGCGCGTGTGAACGTCGCACTGGGGCCTCCGGCGGAGCTCCCGATGGGCCTGGATTTCACGGCCAGTCCTGGCGTGGGGAGGCGCCAGAGCGTCGAGAGGAGAGGCGCCCGGCGGCGAGACCGAACTCAGCAGCACGCCACACGTTTCGTAACGATGACGGCGACGACGAGCCTGTCTGGGGAGGTAGCAAGGTGCCGAGATCGTGACCCCCTGGACCGAAACAGAGGATGCGTTCTGACCGAGCCTTCGAGGCGCACCCTGCCTTGGCGACGAGGCAGCGGCAACGGCATCGGTACATCTTCTTCTCCTGGTGATCTCCTTCCCCCCCTTCTTGCGCCCGACCTCGAAACCCCTCAACTTAGGGAAAACGCATGAGGATGATAAGGTCAGGGGGAAAACATCGCCCTGGAATCGGCGACACATCGTATATCTATATGCATACATACATACATACATACAGACAGACAGACAGACAGACAGACAGACAGACAGACAGGCAGGCAGACAGACAGACAGACACATACATACATACAGACAGACAGACAGACATACACATGCATGCATGCATGCATGCATGCATGCATACATACATGCATGCATGCATGCATACATACATACATACATACATACACGCATACATACATACATACATACATACATACATACATACATACATACATACATACATACTTACATGCATGCATGCATGCATGCATGCATGCATGCATACATACATACATACATACATACATACATACATACATCTATCCATCCATCCATCCATCCATGCATGCATGCATGCATACATACATACATACATACATACATACAGTCAGACATATTGACGGACCGACAGACAGACAGAAAGACAGACAGACGCACAGGCAGGCAGGCAGACAGACAGAAAGACAGGCAGGCAGACAGACATACCTATATATACACACATACACATCGACACACCAATATATATATATATACCTACATACATGAAGATATGGCACACACATAGAAATGCACACACATATGTAGATATACATATGACTGTATATATCTATATGTATCTATAATTGGTGATACGCCCCTGAGCAAATCCGCACGGTCCAGGGCAGGGTGGGCCATCGGGCCCCCATCGGCGATCAGAAGACATTCACGGGCCGATGCGTCCCTGCCCTGACCCGGTGGCCCCCTGACCTCACCCGTGGCCCTGCCCCCTCGACCTGGCCCAGCATGCGGACGGCCCCGTGGGCCTTCTGGCTTACCACGCTCCTCCGCGCTGCGCCCTTCGACGCGCTCTTGGACCCGCCGCCGCCGCCGCCGGCGGGCTCCGCGCCCACGCCTGGGGGACGGGTGCATGAGGAGGAGGAGGAGGAGGAGGAGGAGGAGGAGGAGGGGGAGGAGGAGGAGGGAGAGGAGGAGGAGGAGGAGGAGGGAGAGGAGGAGGAGGAGGAGGAGGAGGAGGAGGAGGAGGAGGAGATGGAGGAGGAGGAGGAGGAGGAGGAGGAGGAGGAGGGAGAGGAGGAGGAGGAGGAGGACGAGGAGGAGGCGCCGAAAGACGCCCAGGAGAGAAAGACACAGATAGAAAGAGAGAGAGAGAGAGAGCGAGAGAAAGCGAGAAAGAGCGAGAGAGAGAGAGAGAGCGAGCGAGAGAAAACATATAAAACATCATAAGTATACAAAGTATGCAGAAAAACGATAATGAGAGAGAGAGAGAGAGGAAGACTGAGAGAGAGAGAGAGAGAGACAAACAAAAAGAGAAAGAGAGAGAGAGAGAAGGCTGACGGGGGGTAGAGAAGGTGGAAAGGGTCCAGCGTCCACAACCGGCATGGGGCTGAAAACCCAGTTCGAGGGAGAAGGATCCCCGCATGCTGTCCAGCTGAGCAATTGTCAAGGTGGCGGGCGCACGGGACGCGCGCGAACGGCCGTAAAGGACGATGGCCGATCGCGCGGGGTCCAGCGCGGCGCACGCAGGAGGCCCTGTCCGACCAGGGGTTCTGAACGCCCAGATGGACACAGCAGCGCTGCAGGCTATCTCAGGCAAAGGAGGGACCGCGGTGCAGCAAAGATGGTGATGTAGGAGAGCATCACCGCACGCTGCGCAACTGAGCAGTCTGGCCCAGCGGCCCCGAGCTGCACGGACCACGCGGCAGGGCCTGCATCCGGCATGCAAGAAGGGCACGGCAGGGAGGCGCCAACAAGTGGAGATGCAAAACGCCCACTCCCGAGCGGCATCAGAGAGGACGGCGGGCTCAGTCGAGGCCGCCGCTGCTTGTAGATAACGCTCTGGCGCCACCACCAATGCCAACAGACGCGGGGTAAATCTCCAGTACAGTAGAAAGTCGACCACAAGAACCTTCCACAAGAACCCAACCCTGAGACCCCAGGACGTCGATGGACTTTTGGTGTGAGAGCGTCATGTTTTCCACAACGAAACCATCGAAACCCAAGAAACCCAGGGCACCCTGGATGCAAGCAGGGTGTTTCTTGGCATGAAACTCCACTGTAAATGGTTCCACCGAGTACGGAAGGCATTTTGACCGAGACGTTGATAGAGGCTCGGCGGGACCAGGGTGGCGAGGGACCGGCAGCGACAGGTCACAGCGGCGCGCTGTGAGCATTCATCAGGGCGGGGAAACATCGCGAAGCCTGCAAAGAGAAGATCGATCATACAGGGCCAGTCCCAGGCCAGACAGAGGGTAACCGTCTCGCAACAATGCGTGGAGAAAAGGCGGTCGAATCTTCGGCGGTTCCGCAAACTTCCACCGCTTGGCAACACCCCCACGCTTCACCCAGAAAAGGTGTCTAGCGAGGATGCTTGGGTTGAATGCCGAGGAAGGCATGCACTGAAACATGACTGGGAAATCCAGCGTCATGTAGCCAAACACCGAAGGTACGCAGCCACAAAGCAGGCGAAGAATTCCCTGCTAAAGGGTGGTCGGATTGTCCCCCACATGCTCTGCAACCAAGAGCCCGAAAGCGTCGAGCGATCGCGGTCGCCGCCCGACATAAGCAGGAGGACTGTGATAATCACGGGAGCTGAGCCCCAGACCAGGGAGGCTGGCACCAGCGATGTGGATGCCATGACAGTGGACACCATAACAACCCTATCATTGAGTTAAACAAGTGTTTAACATGATTCAAACATAAACAAGTGTTAAACCATGTTTACTACATGTGTAAGACATACTTTCATTCTTTAGACAGCTGGACATTATAGGGCAACATGCTTCCTCTCTATGGACCGTCGTCCATAACACTGGCGCAACTTGGCAGCCGCCACAGAGGTGCCCCGAAGACGGAGATCGACGAGGCGCGTGCCGCAGACACGCCAAGAAGCCAGGTGGTCACCTGGACGCGGGGTCGCGAGCCTGCAGCTGGCGCGCGACGCACTCGCCGCGGTGCCTCCGAGACATGAGCAGTAGAAGAAGCAACGCCAGAAATTTAAACTGTTGGCGCTCCGCGCGGATTTCTTGGATCTGCGCTGGACCCTCCCCCTGGCGCGCTCCGCGCGCTAAAGGCGGCGCCGGAGGCGCCGCCGTGGAGGGCCCAGCGCGGATCCAAGAACTCCGCGCGGAGCGTAACACATATAAATTGTATGCCGTCTTTTCTTCTTCGAATGAAGAACGGAGGCATGCGGCCCTCGCGTCCGTCGTGCTCGGCGCCGCTCGCGGCGGCGAGGTCGCGCCGCGCGTCGGGAAAATGGGCCCGGACCAACGCTGGCACAATGCTCGGCGCCCTGGGTACCCAGCGGACCGGCCGTAGGCAACCCTCCACACAGCACCTCTGAAAGGCCTGCCGGCAGCCTGGCGCAGGGAATTGGTCTTCATCGCTAGAACCAGCGCGTTACACCAGTGACACAAACCACCTCGCCAATTCTCGCAAGGACATACAGGAACGCGCGAGGCGCCCCGCGGACTGCTCCAGAACGGAGGGCAGCTGGCTCCTGGGCGCGAGGGAGACCCAGCCGCACATCGAGGCTACGCCCCAAGGCAGCCTCCCTCCCTCCTCGGGCGGGGCACCCGGGCCAGTCCATCGCGGGCCGCCTGCCGGGTGGTCTGGCGGGTGACCACCCCGCAGCGAGTCTGCAGGGGCTGTAGGATCGGGCCCGCTGTGGCGCAGGTCCAGCGAGCAGGCGAAGGCAGCCGCGTGGCAGCGCTGGGAGGCGCTACTGCCCAAGCCGACGCCGCGGATTCCTCCGACGGCGGGCGCTCTGAGGGCGCTGGGGACCCACGTTCGCGACAATCGTCGACCACCAGTCGGCCCCCTGGACGGGGCTCACGCCCCCCTCGCCGAAGAGCCGCCCGTGCGTGCGACGGAGCTTCGACCGCGCACAGGGCCGGTCGGTGGCGACTCTTAATAGATTGTGTACCAGGACGTGCTGCAGTCCCCAGACGGACCATTTGAAGACCCCCTCGTGGACCTAGACGTTGTGAACCTCACTGAATGGTTCACCCGCCACGTCGAGGGCCCGCCGGAGTGCGTCCTGAGCGCCCGCAGGGCGGAGCGTCTCAGGAGGCTCGGCACGGACGTACCTCCGCAGGGCGCGGGCCGCCGCGGCTGGGGGCACCGACACCGCGGCTGCCGGGACGGGAGGGAGGCCCGCCCGCGTCGGCAGCGACACGTGCGGCGGCGACACGGCGGCGGCGGCGCGCTCAGGGCGCGTGGGCGCGGCGACTCGGCAGCCTCGACGCTGGGGAAGCCTGCGCGAGGTCGCCAATGGCGCGACCCCCGTCCTGCGGGGCCGGATCGGCCTCGCCGAAAGGGGGCACGCCAACTGGCCCGCCGCGGGGCGCCAGGTTTGAAGGCGGCCCGCACCGCTGGAGCTGCCAGCTCCAACCGTGCGAAGGTCGCCGCGGTTGGAGCCCGCCGACGCTCGGGCGCGCGGGCGGTCGGAGGGTTGGCCGACTCCTGAGAAAACCCTCCTCCGCCATTCGCCGCACGAGGGAGGCTGCTGGCCAGCCCGCGCAGCCGTGCGGGAGACAGACCCTCGCAGCCCGTAGCGGATCCAAAGAGCCGCCGGGCCACCCACGGGGCGCAGGGTCCCCGAGCGTGCTGCCAGAGGGGCCCAAAGAACGCCACCAGAAAGGCCCCGAGAACTTCTCCAGCATAGCCACACGATGGCTCAGCCTGGGGGGGCCGGCGGCAAACCCAGCACTCCGACGTCGTGGTTTGTGCTCGAAGGTTTGGGCAACTTCCTGCTGGCGATGCTCGAGCTCCACGCGAGCCTGGTACACGTCAGCCAGCAGGACCTGGGCGCGCGGGGGGATCGGGGCGACAGGCCCGCCGCGGCGCTCCTCGTCTTCCACGGCGGAGAGGAAGCGCTCGGCGCTCGGCGCGAGCCCTGCCTTCCGCGGTGATAGAGCCGCGCGGAGGCTCACGACCCCGTCTGCGCGTCAAGGCTTGCAAGGCTGGCCGAGCGGGCTCGCGCGCGCGACCCGCCCGCAGGCCGCAGTCTGGGAAGCGCGGCGGCCCGGGAAAGGAAGACGCCCGCGCAGAGCACGCCTTTAGGGGGCCACATGCGAACCTTACCCCTACCCCCCACGATTTCTGAGGGGGACGGTGGGGTCAAGGCTTGCAAGGCTGGCCGAGCGAAGTGAACCCCATCCTCCCCCTCAGAAATCGTCGGGGGTAGGGGTAGGGTTCGCATGTGGCCCCCTAGCCCTAGCCTTGGAACGCGGCACCCCCGCCAGAGGCCCACTGCGCTGGAGCCCGCACGGGCGCCCGCCGCAGCAGCAGGCCAGCGCGATCGCCAGCACGAGGACGACCGCGCAGCCGAGCAGCGGGAGCGAGGGCCCGCCGGGCAGGCCCACCGCCAGCCCGAGGCAGACGGTTGAGGCCCCCGCAGGAGGTCGAGGCGGCGGGGCGCGCGGGCCCCCCGATCGCCCCGGAGTCCCACAAAGGGGGCAGACGCAGACGCGTCCTCTGAGACAGCCGGTGGGGGCGGAGATACCCACAGGCTGTGCGAAGACGACAGGCCTGAGCGCCCCCGCTCCTCGCTCCGCGATCGAGGGCACGGGCACATCGCGCCCCTGGGCGCGGCGCACCCTTGGGCCGATCGCCTGCGGTGCAGCAGCGATGGGGATATAGAAGAGCAGGAAGGGGAGGAGGAAGAGGAGGAGGAGGAAGAACAGGGGGAGGACCTCCTCCTTCTCCTCCTCCTCCTCCTCCGCCACCTTTCCCTGCTCCTCCTCCGTTCCTTTTCCTGATGAATGGCTCCTCCCTGTCGCCTGTCGCACCCCGAGGCCGGTCGGAAAGGCGGGCCGGGCGTTTCGCCTGAGACTTCTCTACCACTTATGACCCTGAAGCTTCAACATTGGCATTGGCAACAGTTCCACATATCGAAAGCGGGTCGCTCCCAACATGTAGCTCTCGCATTAGCGCGGCGCATATTCTGTTCAAACATTTGCAGGGGGTTCACGGATGGAGGGCAATTCCTTTTTAAAATGTTGCGGCTCTCGCCTTAGCGCCGCGCGCATTCGCCTTAGCGCCGCGCACAGCGTTTCATGGATTCTCATGGTTGACGTACCACAGATGCGTTGCGTAACGATACAGGAATCTCATGGCGCAACATTTACGTTGATTCGCGGTGTTACAGTCCCAGGGGTAGTGCTCTGGCACGATTCAGGACCGTCAAGACGACACTGTAAGTTTGAGTCATGGCTCAAGATCTTCAGGCGGTTGTCTCAACGGGTCACTTCCCTGTGTCATGAAATGCCTTGCAAGGAGCCTATGAAGAGGGAGCATGGAAGGAGCGTGTATTGCTTGATTTTACACTGGTACTCCTCCTCCTCATCATCATCCTCAGACTTCAGGACGTGGCGAGTCCCTCACGCAGAGGACAAATCCTACAAGAGACGAGACGACTACGACGCGACCGCAACAGCGACGAGGCCGACCCCGAGAAGACGGCGACGACGACGACGACGACGACAACGACGATGGCGACGACAACTCCCACTGAAAGACGACCGCCAAAAGCGGCGAGATCGGCCGCGAGCAAGCGACGACGACGAGAAGAAATGACAGCGACAACGACGGCGACCGTCCCCCTGCCCTCAGGAGGCAACTCCTGGGAGGTCTTCGCCAGAACGAATGAATCTATCAAGCCAGATTAAGGGGCAATCAACTTAAGTTAGGCCTGGTTGAGCACAATGTTGAGCCAAACATGGCTGGATTACGCCAGATTGAGCGGGAGTAAGCCGGAGCAGGCGTGATTAATTGCCGATTCAGACGTCAACCTCCCAGGAGTCACCCTGTCCCTGGAGGGCGATCGGGCCACAATTTCGGGGCGGACTCGGCCGCTGCCAAGGGGCCGCCCCAAGAGGCCCAGTAACTCCCAAAACCTCGACAGTCAAATCCCACTGTAAGGATAGAACTGAAAAGATGCAAGACCCTTGGAACGCGCCGTCTCCAAAAGGCGTCCTTGAGCCCGCAAAGGTGCCCTTGGGCGGGGATGCCCGAAAAACGCGCTGAGGATGGAGAGAACCGAAAGATGCAAGGAGCCCTTGCCAAAAGTGGGGGGTTGTACCGCGACTCCCCAGACCTCGCCCAATATACATTCTTACCTTAATTTTGAAGAGGATCCAGAAGTGGCGACGAGAAATCTCTAGGACGAGCAGCGGTATCAGCATCCGTTCCTCCTCCGAAAATGGACTAATCCTTCACGCAGCTGTTGACTGTATCCTCGATCGGAAATGATAACGACGCCGACGGCCCGCGAGAGGAGCGGTGGGACGCCATCAGCTCTCAATTTCTGTGGCGGCCTCGCCCGTTGTCACGAGGGTGCGTCCAGAGGCGCAATCCAAGGCCCAGCAGCGCCCCAAAACCTTGATCCTTGATCCTCCTCCTCCTCCTGCTGCTGCTGCTCCTCCTCCTCCTCCTCCTGCTCCCAATCCTCCACGTCCAGATGTGCCTTCTTCTTCTCCTCCTCCTCCTCCTCCTCCTCCTCCTCCTCCTCCTCCTCCTCCTCCACATTCTCCTCTGGACGACGACGACGACGACGACGACTGACGACGACGACTGACGAGCAGGAGGGTCAGGCGAGGACGGCCGCAGGGGGGCCAGGCGGGTCAAAAAAGGGTCGGAGGCCCGCGCCTGTCGTCACCCAGTTGATGCTCTGGGTGCCGGGGACCAGCTCCCTGAGCAGCATCTCGTTGGAGCCGATGGCGTCCCACCACTCCTCTTGCGATGTGCGAGCAGTCTTTCTGTCCATATCCACTGCAGTATGGAGCTTCGGGCTCCCTTCCCCAGAAACCCGAGGCGCACTGGATATGGATAAATTTGCCCCCTAGAGGCTCGATTTTTATCCATGTCCAGTGCACCTCGGCCTTGTGGCGCCCCTTCCAAAAAAATCCAAGGCGCACTGGATATGGATATAATTCTTGCCCGCACGATGCTCGTCTCAAGTCGGGCCTGTCCCCCTACAGACAGATGTTGGACGAAAATTTGAAAAAAGTACCCCAAACATGCACCAAACATGCTCAAACATAATCCCCATACTTTTTGACATTTGTTGAATGTTCCCCCTGTAGAGGGACAGGCCCGACTCAATGTTCGTCGTCGCTGACACCGGCAACAACGACGACGTCGACGACCTCCGCATCGTCGCTTCTAGGTTTGGCAGCCAGAATTTACCCAGCCAGCACTGGAATAGGCAGTGAGGAGGTAGAGGAGGAGGAGGAGGAGGAGGAGGAGGAGGAGGATCAGGAAGGCGAGGCACTGGGTCACGATGAACATAGAGACATCGCCCTCGCCAACCATCAAGCCCAATCCCACGGGCAGACCAGATACACGACAAGACTTCCCACCGAACTGCAGGAGGACAACTTTAAGCTCGTCTCCAAGCGCATCCAAGACGGCGAACCTGGTCTGGCTTGAAACGAGGAGCTCCCGCAGCGGCAGGAGGCATGGCGGCTTATTTTCTGGAGGCGTCTGGGCGTTCTCTCGAGATCCTCGTCGACGCGACTGGACGCGGCTCGAAGAATCGGCCAGGATGGACCCCGCGAGGTGCCCGGACACCGATCAAGGAGCGGGTGTTGGTCGGATGGCGGCGTTGGAGCCGACGTGGACTCCCACCCCCTCTCTGCGGGGAAGGGGGATGGAAACAAATCTCTTTAGCGAAACGTGGTTTAGTTCAAACGACCTCGGGCCCAAACCTGGCGGGCGCAAGCCTGGAAAATGACGACCGCGGGCGGCGCCCTCTAAAAAACCGAAAACGGACAATTCACTAATCGACGTGTCAAGGTGGAGGTTCTGTCCACCCCCGCGGGGAGGGGGGCGGGGGGGGCAGACCTCCGGAAACTCGACGAGAATCCAGACCTCCGCGGGAAGCAGACCTCCAGAGGCACGCTTCTCGTCTGCGCTCCCGGCCCTCCCGAGGCCGGGTTCGGGCCCCAGGACAGCACAACAAAAACGACTCGGGATGAGCACTGAGGGGAGCGATCCAAGGGTCCCGCTTTGGGAGCCTCTGTGCAAAACGAAATCGAAACGAAAACGGACCACGACATCACTGTGGACGTCCGGCCCGTGCACGGACACCTGAATGAGACCGGCAGAGCGGCTGCCCACGGGCTCCATTGGCCCGGCGGCCGCCCCGAGTCGGCTGCACGCAGGAGTGGCCCTGCGCGGGCTCCGAAGAGTCGCGGCCCAATGGCGGTAGCAGAATGGCAAACTAGATTATAGTTCGCCTTTTTGTGGGCGACTATATGCCGCCACGCTGGTTCCGGGCAGGCTGTGCTGCCCGGCGGAAGGGGACGAGGAGGGGAGAAGCAGGCAGACGACGACGAACGCCCAGGCGGGAGGCCAGGGCCGGCGGAGCGGGCGGGCAGGCAGAAGACGGGCCAGGCGGAGACAGCAGGCAGGGAGCAGGAGGAAAGGGGGCATCCGGCGAGGGCGGGGGTGATCTCGGCATCTCGGGGTCGAGGATCGAGGGCTTCTTCCAGCATGTCGGTCTCTTTCCAAGGCGACGGAAGCCTCTGGAGATCTCCCAGGGCATCTGAAGACCTCCTGGGGCCTCGCGAGCCGATGGCGTCCTACCCCCCTTTCAGGGGAGGGCCAGCAGGGAAGGAACCGGTGATGGAGTACAGATAAACTTTTTCCACATGGGGACCTGGGATCACCAACGAAACCAATTTGGGGGGGTCGGTCAGACCCAGACGCACGAAGAACGCCAGGGGAAGACCCATGTGGACTGCGAAAGGAGCATCGGGCCCCTTTCGAAGCCCAACGCGGGCCGCGTCCCTGAAGACTCGGCAGCAGGGGAGGGGGGGGGGAAGAGGAAGGAAACAAGCGGGCGCGAGCAGAAGACAGGGGGGGGAAAGAGGAGTAGTGGGGAGGACGAACCAGGATTCGCGCATTCCAGCGGGTGGGCTGGAGAGGGGAAGGCTCTGCAGCCGCGCTGCCCCGCTGCGAGCCAGGATCGAACGGAGTCCCGTCGACCTCTGGGACGGGCCGAGCAGCCGTCGAGCTTCGAAACCGATGCGGCAAACGCAGTGCGCCAGGCAGGAGGGCGACGGGCGGACGATAGCGGGCGCGCGTGAACCACCGTGCCGCCGTGGCGGCACACGCACACGCCCCCGCGGCGCCAGAAGAGGACGGGAGCAGGAGACGGGTGCCCACGAGTGCCGACTAGCCGAAAAGCGGATCACACGAGTGGCCTCGGCGTCCAGCCAAGCCGCGCTGAGCTCGGGGCGCGTGCCAGCGGCGATCCGACTCCAGTGATCTTGAGCGCTTCTAGAGGGCTAGCAGCTGGCAAGTGCCCCACAACACTTCGGGCTGAGACTCATGACCTGGTAACCCGTCGAAAACAAATGCTCGGACTTAGGTTTGGTCCAAACCTCCACCACATTGGGACAGTCAGAGACCCCCCCTGGATGGGGCGGGGCAACAGCATTCTGGCAGGCAGCAGTGCAGGCAACAAGTTCTCCTGCCTGGGCAGTCTGAGGGGCGGGGGGGGAGCGAGGGGGGCGTAGATATGGCCAATCTCCTGCCCAGAGCCATGCACCGACACATATCCCCAACCCGTCCGCGTCAACTCCTTGACCACCGATCTCAAAAACGACCAATGAAAACGTACCGACACAAGAATCGTCACGCCCAGCATCATCATGAATATTGTTCGTGAGTCCCTTGTTGATAGGCAGCGGGAAGAAATCACCAGAGCGTGTGAACACGCCTAGGGTGTACAGCATCTGGTGCCACTCCCCAGGCTGCAAATGAGCATCGCCGAGAAGATACTCCAGACGCATCTGGATGGGACCACGAATGCATCGCCAAATACGGTGGAGCGTGGAACCACTCTCCACTCCGCAAACGGGGCACAGGAGGTCGGGCAAGGCGTACCCGAGTTCCTGCGCGCGGAACTTGGTCCAGGGAGATTGACACACCAGTCCTTTGATGGCCCCCTTTTCGAAGGGCGTGAACGTCTCAGAGCTAAACTGGCTGAGAACTGCATCCAAACAGACCCTCGCGTCCACGCCCAGGGACTGCCCACACGCACGCTCCCTGAGCAGACCTTTGAGGGCGGGGAGAGGCAACGCGTGAGTGGCAGCCCCACGCCCGCATCAGCAATGCTCGTGCTGAAAAAATCCGCAGTCGCCCACCCCCAAACGCTCCACATAGAGCCCGAAAGCCCCCCACGGAGGCCTCTGACTCTCCTCCGGGTGGGGGAAGCGGCCCGCGGACCCGACCTCCCGCGCTTCCCTGCTGACAGCCAGCGGCGAGCCGCAGCGCAGCTGTCAAAGAACGCCCCACACCACTAGGTTGGAGGAACTTGCCCAACGGACCTCCTTAACACAAGCTCGTGCTCCGAGGTGCCGTGCGCCTCGCACTCGTAGGCCCTGCTGGGCCAGAGAACCCGAAGGCATGACCGTCTTAGCATCCCTGCCCAGGGAGCCTCTGTGGAGGGCCAGCCTGTCGACCGCCTTGTAGAACTGAAAACTCCTCACATAGGTGATACCCCCCTCTCCTGGCCACCCGACGGGCCCTGCCAACAGCATCGCCAATGCCTAAGTTGGCTGCCGACTCGCGTGGGGCTGCTTCCAAGCACGCCCGATCCAGCGCGCACAGCCTTAGCCACGGATAGGTCCACTCCACCACTGCCGCCTTAGAAACGACGGTGGCGCAGCCTAGGTCGTTCTAGATAGCTTCCTGAAAGCTGAGCGAAGCGTCGAACAGATAACTGGTGACCGCGTTCGCGTTGCCATTGCAAGAGAGGGTATGATCGTCGGTGTAAGCACGGGGAGAGACCCATCTTGGCACCCTGAGCCCTTCTAAAACCACCTCACAAAACGACTCTGACCAGCGTGGTGGCGAAACCGCATCCAGCCGCAATGCCACGCCACGCGAACTTGGGCCTCTCGGCCTTGTTGTGCATGGCCATGTAGCGAGCAGGGCGGTGCGCAGCGTCGCACACACGGGCCACCTGCATGGGGAAGCCCTGATGGCAACAACGCTGGGAGAGGAAGTCCAAATCGACCGACCCGTAAAACTCGAGCACACCCAAGAGCACGGAGCTGTAGCACCGAATCAACCCCACGGCCATCTCATTCCAAACGCTTCGACGCCTAATCGCGTGCACGCTGGAAGAGAAGACCCCGCAGCAGACAACTCCTGACTGCTGGCTGTTAATTACTGCCTGGCGTAGTTCCTACGCGCCCGAACCCAAAGGCGATACATGGCAACGGAAAGCCCCATGCGCCCATGATCCCCGTTAGGTTTCGCCGACATGATGAGCATAGCCCGCCTCATCTGGGCAGGGAGGGGCACCGACGCCTCGAAGACCAGCGACTACGCGAGCGAGCGGAACCGCAGCCTGGCCCGAAACATGCTTAAAAGGACTCACGTGGGAGCCGTCGATCGAGGAGGATGAGGAGGAGGAGAATGTTGTGTGTGTGCTTGGGGAACGATGTGGCAGCTGTCCGCAGCCAGTAACTATGGCTCGAACTCGGGGAACGGCACAAGGTGGCTCAGACTTGGCACCCGGCGGCGATGGGCCACGACAGCCCTATGCGTGCTAGAGCTGGGCAAACTTAGCCAGCTCGAATAAGAGACGAGGAGGAGGAGGAGGAGGCGTTCAGAAATGACCTCAGCTTTAGCTCTCAGGGTGGTGGAAGGCGCCCAGCCAGGGGCGCTACTAACAACCCCGTGGGCGTGCCGAGCTCCGGACTCATTACTGGTCCGAAACCGAAATCCGCTGTCTGAGATCCTCGGGTCTCGCACTCTTCCCAGCATCAGCTTGGGCCAACGTAGCCGCGTCCAAGGCCTACTCAGGCTCCCCTCCAACCGCAACCTTGTCCTGCGGGCCGACATGAACGACGTGCGCTGGAAGGGAGAGGGGGACGAGAAGGAGGAGGAGGAGGAGGAGGAGAAGCGGAGCGAGAGCTGGAGGGAAGGATGATGGAAGGGAAGGAGGGGGGAGGACAAGCTAGGTGCGCTCGCGTCATATCTGACATCCTATCCCTCCCTCCCGTCCCTTACCATGGCGTAGATCCCCTCTCTACTCGCACGGTCGGATGTCGAGCAGGGCAATGATCCCGAAAAGGTACGCGATGCATTGTAGAGCACGGCATGGCATGGCGTAGAAGAGCACCGCAAAGCGTAGTATCAACCTGGCATTGCATTGCATGCCGTGGCATGGCAAGGGAAATGACGCCAACACTGCAGCGGGAGCACGAGTCGGAACGAGCGGAAGCGCGGAAATGAGGCCAACGCTGCAGCGGGAGCAAGATTCGGAACGAGCGGAAGCATGGAAATGAGGCCAGCGCTGCAGCGGGAGCACGATTCGGAACGAGCGGGGCCCGAAAATGAGGCCGGCGCCTCAGCGAGAGCAGCATTTTGGAAAAAAATGCAGGCGAAAACCCAACTCCGGGGAATCCTGTATGTAAAAGACCAATACGCAAGGGGGAGGGGGGGCTAACACTTTCAAGCCGTCATCAGGGGAAGAGGGAGAGTAATATTCATATTGAGTAATTGTGGAGGAGGAGGAAGAGGAGGATGAGGAGGAGGAGGAGGAGGAGGCAAGGCCAGAGACGCCCGTCGTGATCTGATCGCGGCCCCTCGGATCAGAGGGTCCGTGAAGGAGCAGTACTCGTCCACCTTGCTGTGCGCGAGCCTCTCCACCGTGTACTCGTGGAGCCGCCTGGCCTTGGCCAGCGAGAGCTCGTCGCCGAACAGCAGGTCCGCGTGGGAGCCTCGGGTCCCATCTTCCTCCAAACAAGAAATGCCCCTTCCCTCGCCCCATACGCATGTTCCTCGTCCCCACCTCCCCACCTCTCTCCTCCTCCTCCGTGGCGTGAAGTAAGCCATTCATGAGAAGAGGTGAGCAGAAACATGAACCAAGAAGGCGTGAACGGCAGATTAGGTTCCCGTCCCCAAAAGAAGGAAGGAGCAACATACAGCAGGAGCTCGACCACGAGAAACCTTCCACAAGAACCCAACCCTGAGACCCCAAAACGTCGATTGATGTTTGGTGTGAGAACGTCACGCTTTCCACCGCCAAACCATCGAAACCCAAGAAACCCAGGGCACCCTGCAGGCAAGCCGGGTGCTTCTTGGCATGGGTCTCCAATGTAGAGAACTGGCAAGAGACGCCCGAGCCCACCCTGAGGACACGGCATTGCTTGTCGCCGCGGGCGATGACGGCGTGAATGGTGCAACTGCAATCCGACGGCCCTCCCTCTCCTTGGAGGGCGCGGCCTCCCCTGGGGCCACACTGTCCGCTGGGCCGCTGGGCGTGTTGCCTTCTAAGAAGCATGCATCAACAACTTCGCATGCTGCGAGAACAAACCAAACCATACACATGAGCTGTGCGAGGTCCGCGCGGATTCCGTGAAGCAGAACTGGACCCCCTTCTCAGCCCAGGCCAGGGGGGAATCGAAGAAAACATAAACATACACTTTGGGAGGTCCGCACAGATCCAAGAGATCCGCGCGAACCTCCGACAATGTGTGATGATGCCTCTATATGCTCCGTAATAAGAAGAATGGGGCAAGCGTGTTGCACGCGGCGTGCATACCGTGGTGCCCCCATCGTTTTGCGCTCACTTGCTACACCCGACCACATCTTGCTGCTGGCCCCGTGTCTCTCCACAACGCCCAGCGCGCCTGCTCTACTTAGCCACATTCCACCCCGCCGCTATCTCCTGTCGTTGCTGCTGCGCTGCCGATCTGCTGAATGCTGCTGCACTGCCGCTGCTGTGTGCGTCCCCTCACGTGGACCGTGCCCCATAGGGAGCTCCAACTACGGCACCAGTAGAGCCACCGCCTCACTTCGGAACAGCCCTCACGCGGATCGTGGCCAAGAGGGTGCTCCAACTAGGGGGGGAGCGCTCGGAGGCGCCGCAAGGCAACCTTGGATACATCAGCAGGAGCTGTTCCTGCGACAGGGATCATACACATCTGCCTGCAAAATCCAACTGAACCCTCCCTCTCTCTCCACCTCTCGCTCCCCCCCCTCCTCCTCCTCCTCCTCCTCCTCCTCCTCCTCCTCCTCCTCCTCCTCCTCCTCCTCCTCCTCCTCCTCCTCCTCCTCCTTCCCTCCTCCTCCTCCTCCTCCTCCTCCTCCTCCTCCTGTTCATACCAACGATGAGTCGCAACAGCCACAGTGTACGAGCATGCACAGGAAGAGGAGGACGGGAGTAGACGACAATATGATCAAAGAGGACAAACGAGCACGTTGGATTCCTCCTCCTCCTCCTCCTCCTCCTCCTCCTCCTCCACCCCCTCCCCGTCCCCCTTTTCCTTCTCTTCATGGGGCGCTTCTCCTGGAGGGCCCGCAGGGGACACACAGGTGCGGAGGAGGAAGAAGGAAGTAGAAGGCAGGGAAGGAGGGATGAGGCGGGCGGGGAGGGGGGCAACGCGCGTTGGGACCGCTGTCTTGGTCGCCTGAGCACGAAGGTTGCGAGACGACAGAACAAAACCGATTGGGCGGCCCCCCTGCACGACGTGCGGTAAACGAACGGCGCGCCACAAAAACCAGCGAGGCTGCAATGCGTCCCGCCTGATGCCCCACGTCGGTGTAGGCACGGCCCGCGAAGCACGCGCAGCAGGTGGCAGGATGTTCGTGCATGTTGAGAAAGCCCACGTGTGAACAATTCACCCCTCATGGCCAGGTCACTGCGCATGGAGGCTCTGACATCAGAATGGCGAGCAAGCGTTTCTTGATGGGTAACCCCCGGCCACCTTGTGGGGCCACCAGGCTGTAGGCGCGAGGATCGCAGTTTCCTGTCCCAGTCGTAGGTTGTAGTTTCCAGTGTTACAGTTCTGCTTCTTGCTGGTTACTGTAACTAACTGATTGACCGCGCGAGGGGGGGGGAGGCCCAAACGGAATTTTTAGCACCCCCCTGGGCGCGTTGTCTGAATTGCTGGGGGGGCTCGAAACCGACACCCCTCACGCAGATCCGCGGGGTCAGGGTCCAAAAACACATGGGATTTGCCACATTTCTGAAATTCGGTGCCACCCCTCACGCAGATCCGCGGGGTCAGGGTCCAAAAACACATGGGATTTGCCACATTTCTGAAATTCGGTGCCACCCCTCACGCAGATCCGCGGGGTCAGGGTCCAAAAACACCACATTTCTGAAATTCGGTGCCACCCCTCACGCAGATCCGCGGGGTCAGGGTCCAAAAACACAGGGGATTTGCCACATTTCTGAAATTCGGTGCCACCCCTCACGCAGATCCGCGGGGTCAGGGTCCAAAAACACATGGGATTTGCCACATTTCTGAAATTCGGTGCCACCCCTCACGCAGATCCGCGGGGTCAGGGTCCAAAAACACAGGGGATTTGCCACATTTCTGAAATTCGGTGCCACCCCTCACGCAGATCCGCGGGGTCAGGGTCCAAAAACACAGGGGATTTGCCACATTTCTGAAATTCGGTGCCACCCCTCACGCAGATCCGCGGGGTCAGGGTCCAAAAACACAGGATTTGCCACATTTCTGAAATTCGGTGCCACCCCTCACGCAGATCCGCGGGGTCAGGGTCCAAAAACACAAACACTGAAATTCGGTGCCACCCCTCACGCAGATCCGCGGGGTCAGGGCCACATTTCTGAAATTCGGTGCCACCCCTCACGCAGATCCGCGGGGTCAGGGTCAAAAAACACAGGGGATTTGCCACATTTCTGAAATTCGGTGCCACCCCTCACGCAGATCCGCGGGGTCAGGGTCCAACAACACAGGGGATTGCCACATTTCTGAAATTCGGTGCCACCCCTCACGCACATCCATCGCAAGGCGTGGTAACCCAAACTGCGAGTACTCCCTCGGCCCTTTAATCCCAAGGTGTGGTAACCAAGCTCGTAAACCATACACGTCTTACCAATCGCCCTGTGTGGTAACCCCTCTTGTGATCAGTTGGTTTTGCCGATTGCGAATCGGCCTCGCATGAAGTTCCGATACTGCTGCACGACAGCGCCAAAGCCTCATGACTTAGCTCTTCCATGGCCCATTCTCCGAGAGAGGGGGCCGGCGGCAGCGGGCGAAGCCCTTACGGATATATGTGGGCTTGACACGGCGATTCACGCGTTGCCTCTGCTGGGGCCCTCGCCGCTGCAAAACCCGGCGAAGGGAACGCGACCGGGAGCAGATCCCCCATGAGGGGGAGCGTCAAGGGGAGGGCTGGCCAAAGGGGAGGGGGACATCAGGCTGGAATCGACAATGCGAAGGAGGGGGAGGTGGGAAAGGGAACGGGCTAGGGGTGAGGAGGGGGGGGGGTCGGGAAAGGGATTGGGAATCAACAGTGCGCAAATACCACTACTTTCCAGGGTACATTCAGACCAAGATTTCGAGGCGAATCTGGCGGTGGCGACGAGGGTCTCTCTCCTGGAGGTCCGAGAAAGGGGAACACCAGGCAGGGTAGCGGTGTGGGTACCCTGTCCTCCTCCGAAGAGGAGGGGGATGGCGCGGATCACGAGCGACGAGCCATCCATGTCTGGGCCCTCGCGGCCTGGGCAACCCTGGCGCGACCCCGCGGAGATGCGCGCCAGTAGAATTATGCTGTTCCCATCGCGCTTAAGGATTATATCCCAGAAGGTAGTTCGAGCACCCCAAAAATATCGAAACAGTGTCGAACGAGTATCGCCGCCCAAGACCCGACACGTGAATACCAATTCCCGCGTTTTCTTTGAATTCGAAATTCTTGCTGGCGATCAAGGCTAAAGTAGGTTGAACCATCATAACTGTAGAAACCCCAAACACAAGGCAACGGGGCCTTCCGCGGGGAATGCCACGTCCCCGAATGGTCCGTGGGGTTCGCCGCGGCGGCGCCCCGCGGACAAAAAATCCGAACGCCCGCTTTGCCCCTCGCATGCGTGGGGAACGGCGCGGGCGAATCCCAAAACGCACGCTGCACTTCGTCATTTGGCCACTTTGATATCCCTACCAGTTGGGCGCGACGCAATGCATATTTACATCGCCCACAAAAGCACCGCGCGCAGACCGAGCTCGAGAGGAAGCTATGACAATCGCAACGACGCTTCGCTGAAGGGCGAAACTTGAAACGATGTCATTCAACATTGAGCAAACGAACTACAACATCAGAAACGGCGGCGCTTCCGAAACAGCACCCTCGAAACAAGCAGTTCAAGATGACTGCAACAAAAACAACAAAACTGCATAAAACAAGAAAACCACGCGTCCGGGATGAATTCGGCAGGACAACCGAGCGCCGGTGAGGAATAAGGCAGGAATTCGGCAAGGAAGCTTACTGCTCAGGAGGAAAAGCTGCGGCAAAAAATAAACAGGAAAACCCAGCGCCCGGACATACATCGGCGCCCCGAAAGCTTATTCCGATTTGAGAGGCACGGCGCCGCGCGAATGCAACCCAAACGCTACGCTGGAAGGGCGCGGCAATGCATGCCCCGTGGACAGAGGAGAGCAGCCGCGCCCCCGTGCGAGGCCCGATCCCGCGCGGGGCGCGCTTTCCTTGACAATGGCTCACCCGGGAAGCCGCTTCTTGCGCAAGAAGTCCTGAGCGGTCTGCCCATCGGCGGCTCCTTCGGACGAGGCCCGGAACCGCCGAGAAACTGTTTTTGATTGGAAATTCTAGGCAGTGTGCCCATGTTCGGTTTCTTCGGAGCGGGCCCGAGAACCTCGAGCACGATGGATTTGCAAGGGGTCCTAGGCGGTTTGCACATTGTCGGGTCGTTAGAACCGGGCCTGGATTTTTGTTGGCACGCGTCCTATGGCATTTGGCTACTTTCAGGTAGGCCGGTGAATTTTCGGGTCGTCGTATGACCGAACCCGAAAGTTTATTCGAGGGCGTCCTATGCCTTTCGCTTATTTTCGGGTCAGTACACCGTTTGGGATTTAAAATTCTAAATTGGGAAGGGGAACCCGATCCCGCAACCCCGGGCGGGGGCTAGGCTCTGCCCTTGCATTGTACTGGGCCCCTCCGGCCAAACGGGGTGCTGGGCTGCCCATCGGCGCGCCGACTCTGCCCTCGCGACATCACCCCCGTCCGCCCTCGGGCCCCGCGAGTCTTATCCTGCGCGCGCCACCCCAGATGGCCGCGGCGACCACGGTGGCGAAATTGGGGAAACTTTCGGATCGGCACAATAATTCCGCAAGAATTCTGCTAAATTACACAGGACAACCAACTACTCGGACAAAAATAAAGTGGTAGGCAGGAACTGGGCAGGAGAACCAAGCGCCAGGAAGGAATTCGGCAGGAACAGCCAAACAATTACGCAAGACAACCAATTGTTCCGTAGAGCTTCGGCAGGACTTCGGCAGGAAAACCAAGCGTCCGGAAAGAACTGGGCAGTAGGAACTTGGGCAGGAACCCCGCCGGAAAACCAAGGGCTAGCAAGGGAAACCAGGAGTCCGAAAGGAATTCGGCAGCAATTAAGCAAGGATCTGGCAGGGAAGCCAAGCGTTCGGGAGGAATTCGGCAGGAATTAGGTCTGAAGGAATGTGGCAGGAAGTGGGCAAAATCTTGGCAGGAAAACTAACTATTCAGGAGAAATTCGGCAGGAGCACGGCGGGAAAACGAAGCGTCTAGGACGAAGTCTGCAGATTAAGCAGGAACTCGGCAAGAAAACCAAGCAAGGACTCGACAGGAAAGCCCAGCGTCTGGGAGGAATTCGGCAAGAAAACCAAGCGTTCGGGAGGAATTGACAGAAAGTCGGCAGGACATCGAGGCGTCCGGGAGGAGTTCGGCAGGAAAGGGGCAAGAATTCGGCAGGAAAACTGAGCGTTCGGGAGAAACCAAACAGGAATGCAGCAGGAAAGCCCAGCGTGTCCGGGAGGAATTCGGCAGGAATCAAAATTCGACTTCGGCGGAACGGTTGGGAGAGGGAGGTGAGCGATGATCAGAAACGGGTCTGACGCGAGATGGCATAGCGACCTTACGCGGTGGCTCACGCGAGCCGAC